CAGTATCAGCTTCTGCTGATGGCAGCACACCACTGCCAGCCATATCAGGCAGAACTCCGTCGTTGTCTGCCCTAGTGCCGCCCACTTCCGGTAAAGCCCCATCGTACGGATGTTGTGCATACTGATTATGGGCGAACAACGGCGGCCCCAAACAATGCATATCTGGCTCAGCGTACACGGTGTGCTTTCGGAACATTTGATATCTGAAAGAAAAGGCCCTCAGATCCAACAAAACTACTATGAAAACTGTTTTAGTGCACATTCTACAACTGTCTAAGTATGGGTTATTGAGCCCAGGAGTAGATATGCTAATTTGTTGACCAACAATGAAGAGAGCATACTAAATTGCTAGAGAGGTGTGAAGGTCTTACGTCGCTACAGGTGCACCCTTTCCCCGAAAGCCTTCAGGGGCCAGATTCAATCCTCCCCAAAAGGTTGGGAGACGGAAATCCCTTTAAATTTATTTTTTTCAACGATATAGTTTCTTCATTTTCAGTGCACAGTACATTAAATATAGGCCCTTTATCAGGACAATCCCAGTTGGGAAGACAGAGAAAATTTGAAGGGATTTTCGTCCCCCAACCCCATGCGGAGGATTGACTGGCCCCAGGTTTCGATTCCTTAGGGGGCAGCCTCCCATCATACATGCACCGAAAGCACATGCCTTTTCAACATCCAATTCAAGTTCCCCACAGAAATCGAATATTTCACTTTATATTCAAATCAAACAAGCTGTACGGAAAGCAGCAACTACACCCGCAAAGGAGCAGACGATAAAAAGCAACTTGTGATGTTTGAGAGTTAATGAAACTTGGAATTGCTGTTTTTGTGTATTTTTTGTTCCCGAATGCTCTGTGATGTCCTCAAAAAATCCAATAACTGCACTTTTTGATGTTCTTGATCTTATCTAATGCTGCGCACGCTACTAAATCTACAACAACAACATGCACCACCGCGGGAAACGGGTGTATCTATTTATAATACAAGTCTGGCGATTTAGTCTAGTTCAAAATTGAGGTGTCACAGAGGCAACTTCGGCCAATTTACTTCTACTACTTTAAACTCCAAGAAGCATATTACCAGTGAGTATTGCCAACATATGCATAAGGTAAGGTCGATCTTACATTTTTATGCACCTTACCAGGAGAAAATCACGCTCATAGTCTGATGGTTTTCTGAGTTGACTCACGCTAGTTTTTTTTTCAATATCTGCATGAACCTTTTACATTACCAAGTTAGGGGTAAAAGGCGATCATTTCTTATGATACAGCACAACCGAGGGATCATTTCTTATGATACAGCACAACCGTACCCCACAATCGACCCTCCAAAAAAGACAAACTAGCAAAACTTCGCCACATCCGGAACTCTTGTCGGATCGCGTGCCTATTAACTTCCACTTTGCAGTATTCATGAAATGTCCTGAGTGGAAATGCTCTAGAAAATAGCCCAGATGAAAAAAGGCCTACCGCGACTCCATTCCGCCCTTGCTTCCAACAACTAACTTAGCAAGAACACATATTCTTATTTGGCCAAATTCGGTTCTAAAACTGGTAAATTTAGAACTCGAGGCTCAATTTTGTGCCTGAGAGGGTGGTCGGTATACCCGTGTGCCAAAGTCCCGTTCAAGTGCCTATGACCCCCTTGTGGCACTAAAGGACACCATAGCCGACTGGTGTAGGTAATTGCCTGATATCACACCATTGCTGCCTCAGTTAGGCCTAGGTCTTCGCATCCCCTGATGATCATTCCTCCTATGATTTTTGTCTCGAACACATTCACTTCACCTTCTCAGTCATATGGGTACTGCTGGTTCCTTAGATCAGCCTTTCATTGCTTTTTTCTCTTAATTATTGCATTGATTTCGCATACTGGATTCACTGGCGCGTCTCATTTGGACGTATAAATAAATAAATAAATAAATAAATAAAACTCCAAATGTTCAACCGAAGTCACAACTCTATAGCAATGCAATTCAAAAACTTGCATTTTACAAGAAACAACTTGGACTAGAAAGGTCAGCGCATGATCAACCAGAAAGTATGATGAGTTTTGCTATAATTCTTAAATTAAAATACGTAATTAATTGTTTGACCTTATATTCGTCTTCCACTAAAAAGCGCAATGTGATAGGGAGATATATTCTGTAATAGCTGAGATAAAACCCTTCAAACTTAGATGCAATCCTGTAACAACACAGGCAGGGCCTTCACTTCTCAACAGAACTCTTTGCAAATATCTATCGAAAAATCTGATAGTTTGTGAACCTTCAATAGAGTGATGTAAAGCAATGGATTGGGTCAGAGCAAAACGATAAAAAAAGGATCATTCAGGTGAAAAGCTTACCTATCTGTTTTCTTCCAGAAGTAGTAATACTCAACAAGCTCTCCTACTCGTCTATATGGTAACTGAAATAAGATGGCTGAATCATGAATGTGGAACATGCATGCAATTTCAAAAACCAGCGAGAAAAAAATTAGGTTCATTCAAAGTCAAGAATTCTACGACAGCCCTAAGCTTCAGAACCGAGGAGATTCATATTACTTATTCTGATAAAGACAAAAAAAAACCGGTTTTCTTCAAAGAGTATTACGAACAAACTAAATAGAGCAAGTACACTCACCAGCCTTTTTTGTATTACAGAGAAGTTCTTGCCGTACATCGCAATACCTCTCTCAAACAAATCACGCTCTGACAAATCCCACTCCAACGCGCCTTGGCGTACCGTGCGGAATGGCTGATTTACTCGAGAAAACGGAAACGCTGCCTGAATATCATAACTTTGCTTCAAATCCTGGCCATCGCTATAGTTACACACCAAGTTATAGTCATAGTTATAGTTGGCACATCAAGTTGAACAGTGCACAGAAGGAAGAGAATGTAAAATTTCTAAAAAATACTTACTTTAGCTTTATCAGTATCGTAACGGTGCCTATACAATGCACAGAGCGCGTCTTCATCGTCTCTTGTCTAAAAACGTACTCATTAACAAACGGACTCTGATAAAGCGAAATGAGGACGTTGATCGTGAAGTTTTGCTTCTAGTTGACAAAAAAAGAAACTGAATTTCTACAATCTGCAAAAAAATTTCAAGTAGTAATAGAAGACCACTAACCAAAGAAAAACGATCACAAATAGTTTGGCCATGTGCTTCTCTCAACTCAACAACGTCGCCTAGAAACCGATCTATGTCGACCTCTGACAGATTATCTGTTGGCATCCACAACGCTCCACCCGGTACTGGAGTTGGTAACGTCGGTAAGTCATTATCATTATCACTAGACGCCAGGGACGCCTCGTCATTCATACTTTCAGGAACCGCTGCTTGGTAACGGCCGGCATCAACACGAACCTGAAACTCATTCGATGAACCTTTCGAAAATAACAATCCAACACATTCCTTAGCATTCGCATACCAGGTAAAATTCGAACTTACATCTTTCCTCCAAGGATCTGGCGGCGCATAGTCCCTGTCGTCCGAATCATCGCCTTCATCGAGCTCATCATATGGGAGGTGGAAGAAATCTCCGCTTTCACTAGCCTCTACGTCTACTGTTTCACATTCACCTTCACCGTCAGCGACGGCGCCAACTTCTGAACTGCTGTCGCACTAGAAATACAAAAGTTATTGCAGTGGTCCACCTGACAAAAAGAAGGCCATGAAAAAACCTATGAACTGTATTCAAGAGTTTTTTTTTTGAAATAAACCAATTCTCAAAAGCTGTTCATCTTAACCATTATATCAACCTGCTTCGAAAGCACTGAGAAGGTTATGGAGCATTATAAGACTGTATAATGCCGCAATAGTTTGTATGTATGGATGACATGTGGGTCACTCAGCTCAAGCAGAGCTAGTAGTTATCCATAGGTTGGGAGAAGGTTAACCACCTGAGATGATAAGATGACTAGGACTGCTGCACTGCATTGAACGAGATGTTAGAAACAAACTTTCCAACTCAAGTGCTACGCTGAACGAGCCGTTGGAAAAAGAGATATTTGCCTTTTTCAGAAGAAAGCTATGCCCAGAATGACCAAGACATGCCGCATCATGACGAAGAACGAGCATCGTTAAGCAGCGGTGGGTTCCTTCCCTTGGCAACTGCCTCCTTCGTAGAGAGCTATATGGCTGACTCAGCCCACCACTGATTAGTTGTGAGGCGTGAGGAAACATTGAACTACAGGTGACGCATACTATTAGGCACTTTTCATGTTTGAACTCCATGGCCGATGTCAGACTTTTCGATTCGCTGGCGATTCGCTAAATACGACCATGCACCAGTAAATCGAGCTGTTTACGAACAGATCGAACTATGTGCCAGCGGATCGAATGATGTACCAGCAGATCGAACGGTGTGTTAGCCACCCAACAATGTTTGAAAGTGGCTGGACCCAACGTTTAAAGGAAGTCCCGTCACTTTGAAACGGTGTGTTTCTTGTTCGATTCGTTGGCACATCGCTCGATCCGCGGGGAACATGGTAGACGATCCGCTGGTACACAGCTCGATTTTAGCTCGGTGCAACGCTCGCATCGCGTTTGGCAAAAGTCTGACTTCGGCTTGTAAGCGTTCAAATCAAAAAATAATATGTTACCGTGTTTAAAATAATCCTTTTTTTTCAATACAGCTCACAAACATTTCAGAGTTCGAACGCGACACCATCGCAATATTCAGCCAGAAAAAAAATGATCAAAGAGGACCTCAAGATACTATAGGAAAATAGTCACAACGCTAAAAACATCATGAATTGTCTTGGAAAACACGGATCAAGAGGAAGAGTTAAAGCAAAATACACTGGCGGCACCCACTTTAGAAGTAGATCTATTGTGAGGACTAACCTCCGCTTCTGCGCTTTCATCATCACCAGATAATGAATAACCATATCGTCGCCTCAGCTCTTCAATATCCATCGAACCTTCGTCTTCCAATTCTGCAAAAAAAATTCCTCTAAAGCTGCTTCATCAAACAGGGTATAACCATTTATTTGTGAATTATTTGTAAAACAAAAGTCTCGCTGAGCAACCCTAGACCTACCTGAAATCTACTACAATGATGTGATGTCCGAAGATATTCGAGGAGCCCCATATGGATTAACTGAACCGCACCTATCTAACTCTCAGTCGCTGAGGGACCAAGATCTATGAAATATCTTACCTATCACATTTTAGTTACAAAAATGCACCTTCATTGGTAGTTTAGAGCACATTTAAATCCGCTGATCTACAGATATCGTACAGAAGTCTGTATTTCTTAAGGAGGAGGCGTTTTAGTGCAAGAGTTGGTGCCACACTACGTCAAACTCAACTTTTGCGGAGGATAAGAATATCCAAGGCGAGGTGAACTAATATGTTAAGGCATAAAGATAATTTGATGAGTACACTAGTAGTACAGTACAATTTTATAAAAGAATAAAACGTGTGCCATGGTTTGAATGCAAGAGGCTCTTGAAAGCACATCAACCCCCTCCGTTGGCCAAATCTGAGCCCAAAATCAAATTTAATGTGACAGTTTCATGACGAATCAACCTAATGAGCTTCGTTTCTGAGTAATCCACTCCACCCTCAAGCAGTGCCGCTTCATCTTAGCGTTCCCTGAAAACGTCAGCCATTGCAAAACGAAGAAGGGAAATGAAGCATGTTGAAAAATCAAAAATAAGAGGGGGAGAATTATCAGAATTGATCGGACTCCTTTTAGACATACAAGGCATAATAGTTCCAATCTAGATCGTGGAGGCATTGGGAGGTAAATTGGTCACCAAAATGATTTTCGTGGGTAAATCAATGCAGCAGAAGACAGGGTTAATTCTCCTAGGCGAGTCTGATACCAAATCATTAGGGGTGAAGGGTGGTAGAGTACTTGGATGGGTCTGTGAAGGCTTCAGCAGTAACTTCTTTCGGAATACCGCACGTGGCGTGAATGGCACAATATAGTCTGTTTACTCGCGACATGGTCACAATACTGGATGTGCTACCTCACCATAGAAGGGTGATTTATTCATATGCGGAAGTCACTAGAGACCAAAGCGTGCAATATGTGCAATTATTAGCTACGTAAGAGCTAGCAATTGCTGGAAATAGTACAGTCTGAAAATTTTAAAACTAAAAGAGACAACTAATTAGTTCAACAAGTTTCTTTGAAATCGTTGCTATAGCACGAGAGGAAGCAACGGATAATTCAGTGGACTAACAAACCATGGCTTCAGAACTACGAAGGATTTTTAGGAAAATCTGACAGTAACTCAGGCATTCTTACGAAAAGACATCACACTTAAGGTTTAAAACTAAATATGGAGAGAATTAGAAGGGAGTAGGTTCAACCTCAATGAACACATATCAATATTATCAAATGTTTTTGGTTGTTAACTGCTGTCTTGGACGCAGTTCGCCTGGCTAGAAGTTCACAAGAGTGCTGAGTAGCATTACAATGATGAGCTTCGCCGTTTCACCAAAAAAAGAAAACTCGCCACAGTTCTAGTGAGTAACTATATTACTGTGACGTGAAACGAAGCTCCAATAGAGTAACTTGAGTAGCGTACTGCCCTGTATTCAAGAGGTCCTAGTTAGAGACCCGCATGGGACGAAAGTTTTGTTCATAACCTAGCAATACTGCAAGGATTATCGAATGTGTTAATCAGTAATAGGGTTCCCTTTGTCCTCAGTGAAATCAATGCAAAATACAACACTAAAGATTCCTAACCGAAAAAAGGATCACCTAATGAAAGCGAAGCGGAAAGCGGTTAGCTAGCAAGGCAGCAATTAAAAAAGCGACGTAGAAAAAACACAAAGGAACGAAAAACAGAAGAGTAATGCTAAGATATTATGTGCTTGGGTCTTAAGCCATAAATCTCACAGTCGTTGCATGGTGAAACTTATCAGCATGAGGACCATGAAAAATCCCATAAATCACCTGAAGCTATCATAAAACAACTTACTCACGGAACGAATACAACTTCCCATGAATTGTACCCCCTAACTAACAAATAATGCGGGAGTAGCCCTTACAGTACTGATATGAGTTAATTAAAATTTCAAACAAACCAGGGTGGCCAATTAAAAAGTGGAGTGTATTTGAATTTTCATTTATTTTTCGTATTCAAAAGAGACATGCGCGAAAAAAAAGTATAGTGACCACTTTCTATGAATGCTCTTGACCATAAGAATGCCGTGAAAAATCAAGAGTGAATGGTTTGAGTGCTTATAGTGAAACAACCTTCCACCTTTTGAACCTACACTTTCTTTTTTAAAATCATGCATAAACAAAACCTCTCAATATACAAATGTTTGATGCTAGAACCGCTATACAGTATTTCAAGAACGCTGAACTATGGGCAAAACACTGCCTCAAATATGACTAAAATCCGGAGCTCGTCCTTTTGAAACAAGAGCCCTCTGAAAACCCTAAGAAGAATTGTCATTTTCCTTTTGGACATTCCAAAGTTGCTTAGAAATTATTAATTCCATGTTCCATGCCTATTATACGGAGAAATCCACTTAACGGTTTCTTCATAAACTGACAAACAAACAGCTACGCGACCTACAACACGTAAATTTGCAGCACGTGTGAGGGGAGGTATTTTTTATTTCCAAAATCAAAATTAGTCCACCCGAAACACTACACCCATTGTTAGATGATATTTACAAAGTCGAAATATGGATATGGTGTAAATGCTTCAACAGAAATGCGAGAATAAAAAACTAATCGACTGGCTGCATCGTGCGGTAACAAAGTGCAATATCACTACTGCCTTCAGCCACTTGATCTAATTTTGTGACAAACAAAAAATGTGCAGGGTTGTGGGACATTTAACCTATCAAAATTCCTTGGTGTGTCGTGAACACGATAAAGAATGAGTGGACAGAATGAA